CACACGCCTTCCTAGCTGCGTCTTTCACTAGGACACCTCTCCGATGGCTCTCAGGCATCTCTGATAACCAAGAAAAAGCCTTGATTCCTCTTTTTCAAACCTCCTTTCCTTGCCTCCAGCCCATCTAGGCAACTCCTCAAGCCTGAAACTGGAGCATTGTCTCTGATTTCTCCATTTGCCTGCTTCGCCCCAAGTCCAGTTCATCAGTTCGGCCTGCCACCAGCAGTCCTATCCCACATCTCAGACCATGCACTTCTCTCGGTCTGTCCTCAAACTGCTACCTCTGAAGTGCAACATGTTAGATGCCCACCTGGTATCACTTCCTTTTTATTCTGGTGACTTGGGAATTTTTTAGGCAATCATCATGCTTCCGTGAATGGTGCCACAGAAGACCTGCTTTGCGGGAGTCAGCCAGACTAGCGACCTGTGACTCTCCCTGTCCTACTATGCTTCAGCTATGCTGGGCTCCTTTCAGATTCCTGAACACAATAAGCTTTCTTGGAGTCCTGGCCTTGGCACATAGTGCACTCTCTGCTTGGAATACTCTTTCCTCTGCCCTTGGCCTGGTTAGTGCCTCTGATCCTGTAGGTCTTGGTCTCATCTCAGTGTCTGCCTCCCTAGACAGTATCATCCCTGAGACCTGGGCTATAGTTCTTACATTCACTCGTAGATACTGACATTGAGCACAATACTTGGCACGCGGCAGAGTCCAGTAAACACTTGTTGGATACTGGTCAAACGCACCACAGGCCAGGCCCCATGCCAAGAGGTTTAAATAAAAATCCCCTGATTCTAACAGTGCGGATCTAACTCTTTACTTCTCCCAACTGCCTGGATGCCCCCAGCTCTCCAGTCTGTTCGCATCATAGCATTTCAAGAATACTTCTTGAAATCTTTCTTTTTCCAAACAGTGTGACCATCCAGCATGGCATTCCTCTTGCTTGCTTCTGTGCCAACCTGGACTACCCCATCATGACATGAACAAGCCATCATGAAACTGCTTCACTTAATCTTTAAATCTCTGAGATTCAATTCCATGAATTCTAGGAGGGCACAGACTTTGTCCTTCCCTTTCACTACTACATCCCCTCCACTAACAAAGGGCCTGGCACCTAATAGGTGCACAATTAATCTTCACTAGATAAAAGAACAAGTGACCTTACTGAATGATGGGTAGATGGAACATCACCTGATTTAAAGGGATTAGGTGTTCTTTCATTGCTTAATCTCTTAAAGAATAACATTATAACCTTTAAAATAACTAATGTTCAGACTCTACCCCCCTTTTTCTACTATCTCCAGTGGGAAAAGCCCATTTCTTTTTCCACTCTGTGTCTCCTATGAGTGGCATGTACAGATGACTGGTACAGGAAACCCGTCTGAGTTCTCTCACCTCCACCACATAGATTCACGATGTCAAAAGCAGCGTGCCATTTGAGAAATGAACACTTCCTATTGCTGCAAGAGGGCAAACGCCTCAATGCTAGGACACAGAGGCTATCGGGCTTTGCTGCCTGGCTTCCTGGCCAACACCCTCCCTGCTGTGGCTCCTACAATCACATAGGCTGTGGAGCCACTGCTGACCCAGAGGCACCCTCCTCAGCAGCCCGGGTGGCCGGCAGGGCCTCACGGACTTCTGAGTCTTGGCTACACCGAGAAGGAATGAGCAGTTGCAAAGTCCACAGGATTATTTGACTGCAAAAACAAATCTCAAAAAAGCTCTTCTGTACTCTTTTTCTGCCTTGGTTCAGCTACAGAGCACCCCCAGAGAGCCCCCAAAATCTACCAATGTGTGCCTGACCTGTTGTTCTGAGTCAGGGACTCACACCTGGGACTCAGTGATGTGCCCAGCAAATGGTACCACCCAGCAGTCATGTGTCCCCTGTGCTGGCCACTGTGTGCTGCTTCCTGAAGTACCCTCCCTGAATTAAAACCAATCAGAGCCAGGAGAAAAAACATGCTTCCCTCCATCTTGCTCATACAATATACCCAACGTGGCTGACTGGCAACAGACATACTTGAAATGTCCTTTGTTTACAAAAATCATTAAATATTCCTAAAACAAAATGCAGTAGATGAGTGGCCACCTCAAGCCACTCTGGAAATCTGGCTGTAATCACTCAAGTGTGTGTGTGGTGGGGGGGGATAACATTTCTCCTCAGACGGCAGAGGTGACTGGGGACGAGGGTGATGCTCTGCCATTAGCTATGCTGCCCACTGAAGATCCCATGCCTACTGCAGTCGGACCAGTGGGCCCTGCACACGTCCCCAAATCTATGGGTTCATCGTGAGTGTGTGTCACCCAAGCTACTTGCAATGCATCCTAAGTGGCGTTCACTTGCAGCAGCTGTCACTGGAAATCAATGCCCTACCTCTGAGACCAGTCTTGGAGTCCACTCTGCCTGGACTTTGACCTTAACCTGGTTCCACTTTCAACTGATAAGTCAGCCCAGCATCATCATCAGTGGAAGGTACAATTTGTCATATGCTGTTTGTACCATGTGGTCAAAGGACTGAAGGCAGAAACCTGAAACCTAGGGCACCATGTGACCTTCACAAAGTCACATCACCTCTAAGTTTGGACTCCTCTCTAAAATGGGGCAATACCACTAATACTGCCAAGCTCACAGGTGGGCAGTGGACCTGGAAAATAGAAGGCCGTGAGGCTCAGTGAAGATGAAGAAAACACACATGGTAGATGTAACAGTGTCACTGAAGTCTGAGGCCTGAGGGCGGCCTACGAACTGGTCCTGGCATCAGGTTTTCTCAAAGATGCCCAAGGTCACCAGTTGGTGCTCGTTTCTGGAAGCGACAGAAGATAAAAGAGTAAGATTCAGTCTCATAACTTAGATAAGTTCTCAACAATGACAACCCCAAAACTGAGTATATATTTAAGTGTATTTCTTAAGAACTAAGATGCGTTTTATCTGTTTCCACCTCTTATTGTCAAACTCTACTGTGGCATTTTCCTGTCAGTTCTGGCCACTGTATTCTTCCAGATACCAGTAGGAAAAGTGTTTAAAAAAAAAATTAGGAGCGCATCCATCACAAGACAGAAGTGTGGGCAAGTGTGGAGGGACGGCAAGTCCTTCCATTCTGCTATTGGTGTTGCCAGACAAATGACCCCCATGTGTGGCTCTCTGGCCCTGAATAACCCAATTGCATGAGTCAAGGTGCCCGGCGGCAGGAGGCATGTCCAAACTTCCCCTCTGGGCTCCCTCCTTCTGCCCACATTTTATGGCCTCAGCATTAACACTTACTTCCTCCTCCCCAAGAGTAATTGCTTACTACTGCTGCCAACCCTGCCCAGCAGGGCCCTTTGAGAGTACAGAGAGAAGGCAAGAGGACAAGGAAAGGAGAGGAAGGCATTTAAAGATAAGCAGTGGGCATTGCCTTGAACTTGAGTGAAGTAAAATAAAATGAGAAATGAGTCAGGAAAGCCATCCACAGCGTGTAATCCATCATCTGGTGTAAATCTCTCATTGTTATATTTTAGCTGGATTCCAGTGCACAGCCAACATTTCAGGAGATGAGGTCAGAGCCCAACAGTACTGCTTCTTTCTCCCCAAGGAACAAGCTTCAAAGATAAAAATAAGTTACCCAGCCCACCCGCTGGTCAGTCTCACAGAAAGCACTCTCAATAGAAAATCTGGGTTTGGTACCCCTGAGAGCCCCAAGTGAACTGACTCCTGTCTCTGGATTTCCATACTGATGTGTCTCCCACAGGTTAGAGGGAAGGAGAGCAAAGGCTGAGGGTCCTTCTGTGATGACCATGATTTACTATGAAAAGGGAGAGGAAACAGCTCACCAAAAAAGCATTCCATGTTCCCGCCCACCCACTCTATCCACAAAGCAAAGAGAACACCGTCTCAGCCTACGGGACACACACCATGGCTCAGATGACCCTGGCAGCAGTAGATGAGATCAAACTTGAGAGCATCCTCGTGCCAAAGCCACCAGGCCACTCCAAACCTTGGGGTATTTATTGTGGCCTTTTATGGGCCATAGTCAGTTGAACCAATGGCCTCCAGAACAAAGCAGCCTGCTTTTTCTCAAACAGTTTAATATAGCTGAAAAAATAAGCATTTATTCTCAACCAACATAGAAGAGATACATACAGCACTGGGCCACCAGGCAAAGGAAATCCCACTTACGTGAGCCATGCACCAAGGTTTGAAGTTCTTAAAAACAAAAAGGGAATAGCTTTATTTTTTTCCAGAGGCTGAGACTGTGCCCCCTCCGCCATTTAAAGCACTACTGGATTGCAGCTGTTTCTCAGGAAGGGGACAGGCCTCTAGGTGCCTCCTATGCAAAGCCTAGAAGGAGTGAACCAAATACCTACTGTTGGTCTTCATGCGCATTTATCCTGCAGCACAAGGTCAAACAAAACAAGGACAACTGAGGAGATGTGGAACAGAATCAGCACATTTCTCACAAGAGCAGCACACAACGCAAGTAAGACATCAAATGCATGATGGATGCTGCCTTCAGTCACGTCCTTCAACTCTTTTCAAAGGCAGCTCCCATGAAAAATGTTCTCGCAGCCATAAAATTGCCTGGATTTGGCCAATCCAGTGTTCAGAATGGATCAGCCAGACAGGCAGATAGCACTGTATGCCAGGCTTTCCACCTCATTGTTTTTCCTGGACGAAGTGGAGAGGCCTGTGCAGAACCAGTCACAAGGAGGAAGGGCACCCAAAGCATGGCCCCACCTACCCGGTTTTGGTACAACTTCTTGGGGCTCACAAGCAGACAGGCACCCTCCTCCCTACCGCCCCCAAAATCTCACAGGAAAGCAAGAGAGCCAAGTGGAGAGGAGATAAAAAAAAAAAAAAAAAAAAAGAAAAAGAAAAAAGAGCCAATGCTCATCCTTTCTAAAAATATTCCAGTTGTAGCTCATGTTTAGAATTGCTTTATGATAATAACTAAACTGGAGACGGCAGATAAGGCTTTCTACTTTCCTTCTTTAGGAAGTGGATTGAAAAAATGAAGACGCTTACCCATTTTTGAAATAGAGGACATGGGCTCTCTGAAGTCCTGTTTCTAGGAAAAAACCTAGTTCTTGATCGTGGGGAGCAGGGCCAGGCTTAGGGCTTCTGTTTTGAATATTAGTAAGGATTACCTAGAAGGGGAGAAAATCGGAAAACTAATCAGATGCACATCCACGCCTACTTCCTTCAAACCCTCGCTCTAAATGCACTGCGCAGTTTGAAAACCCGACTTCCTTTCACGAAGATCAGCACACGGGCACAGGTGCAGGAGTCCAAACACGAGGACAGCAGGGGATGCCTTCTGCTAGGACAGGGCAGCCAGGTAACCCAGGTGGGCAGCGCTCTCCTGGCACGGAGAGCAGAGGATCGAGGGTCACTGTTGCTTGGACATGCAGGAAACACATGAGAGGGGCACGCTGCATGACAGGAGATTGTCATGGAGGCTGCGACATGGAAGCAGAGACCAGCATACAACAGAAAGTGATGTCTACCAAAAGCCAAGGTCAGCCCTGTCCGAGCAGGAGTTCACTGAGAGCTGAGAGACGATGAGATGGGCACTCAAGGGGAGCAGGGCTAAGAGAACCACCTACTCTCCTCTCTCCCCAAACTCTGCCTCCTTTCAACATAAGACAGGGTTTAAAAGGTTTACATTTTTAGCCCTAAAAGAAAGGCTACCAAGAGTTTGTGTCAGTGAAGAGTAAACGCTGCATATCTGCTAATCTCTTTAAACTTGCTAATTAAATAAGCATTTCTCAAAGAGAAACTTCCTCAAAGAGAAACTTCCCTGTGGCCCACAAAACACCGTGGAAAGTGGAAAACATGCTGCCCCTATTTGCTAGAATGTCGGCAGCTTTTCAAAAGACTGGCTTGTTGGCCAAATTCCAAATATCTTAGAGGACTCGTTCTTTAAAAGGAGTTGGAGCAGTTCACTAGATCCTCTAACCCTTTGGGAGAAGAAAGTAGCAGGCCCACAATGCACGCATCACCAAGGAAGGAAATCCAGCCGGCAACTCTTGCATCTGGGCTATGTGCAGCTGGGCATCCTATCAAGTCCCTGGCTCCGTGGGCTTTGGCTCTGTCCAGTGTGCCCCGGGGCTCCTCCTCTCAGGAGGCGGGTCCCTGTCCTCTGTACTGGAGGGGCTTCCTCCATCCATGTGTAAAGTGTTAGGGACGCCAGGCCAGGCTACATCGTGCACACTTTCTTTTCTGTCTTAAACTGTCTTCAGGTGACTTTATTTATATTCCTATGAGCTTCAAAAACTATCGACACACGGCTACTCCCAAATTTAAGACCAAACCTTCTCTCACATAGCCAACTACCCTTCTCTAAGGGCCAAAACTGAAACTTGCAAAATTGCCTTTTATTTGCCTCTGAGCATGTTTTGTTTTTCAATTTGGGTTTTATCTTTTTTTTTTTTTTTTTTTTTTTTTGGTATCAGGCATCAAATTCATGATCTCGTGTTTGCCAGGCAGGCGCTTATACCGCTGAGCTAAATCCCCAGCCCTTGCTTTTTAATTTTGAAATGCTGTGATTACTTCAAAGCAAAAACAATTCAGCACAGCACAAAGAAAATTTTAAAATCACCTCAAAATTCACCACACAGAAATAACCATAGCTAAGACTTGTGTACATATGTATCAAGCAGAGACAAATAAAAATCATTTTACAAAAAAAAGACCATGGTATATATGCTAGTTTTTATTTTATTTTTTTGTCTTTTTCATTTTTATCGGTACCAGGGATCGAACTCATGACTGCCTGCTTGCAAGGCAGGCGCTTATGCTGCTGAGCTAAATCCCCAGCCCCTATATATGCTAGTTTTAAATTTGAACCATTACATTTAATTTAGTTCAATTTGGCAGAAGAAGCTAAAATATAACCAAAGTAATAACTCAACTTCAGAAAAACCATTTTTACTCACATAGTTTAAGTTAAAAATATGTGTGTATATATATATATAGGTGTGCCTCTAAACATACAGTTAAACTACACCATTATTTTTTACCTATATATTTCAATTTATACAATATTTACTGGCACATAATACAGGTGGAGAAATTAATATGTGCATTCTTTTTACTGTAATCTCCTTTAGTGCTCCATTTTTATTTTTATATTTCAGCTTCCCATTTATATTATAATATATACTACACACACATTCACACACATGCATATAGCCACATACAGGGGCATGTGTATGAACACTAACTGTATTGGTTCTGGGGATAAAACCAGGGCCTTGCTCATGCTAGGGAAATGCTCTACTAACGAGCTTCTCCCAAACCTGTGTATTGTTATGATGACTTTAGAGGCTGGGAAGTTTGAGTCTTTCAGTTTTATCCTTTCATTTCAAGACCATTTGGACTGTTCTGGGTCGCATGACTTTCCATACAAATTCTTTTTTTTTTTTCATAAGCTTGTCAATTCAAAAAGTACATGTCACATTTTGACAGGTAATGGGTTGAATCTGAAGATCGATTTAGGAATACTACCATTTTTATAAATTAAGTATTCAATCTATGAACATGGGTTGCCTTTCTGTTTATCTAGATCTTCCTTAATTTAAGTTGTACACTTTTTAGTGTACATGTTTTTATTAAATTTATTCCCTTGTATTTTATTCTTTTTATTCCATTGTAAATGAAATTGTTTTCTTAAGTTTATTTTAGATTATTCACTGCTGGTGTAAAGAAATGTGGCTTTTATATGTTGACTGTATATCCTATACCTTTGCTGAACTTATTATTAGTTCTAACTGTTTAAAAATAGATTCCTTAGAATTTTCTATACACAATATCATGTCACAAATAAGAGTTTTATTTCTCCTTTTTCATTCTGGATACCTTCTTTTTTCTTTTCTTTTTGTCCTAATTGCACTAGTTACAGCATCTTCTACAATACTGAGTGAAAGTACAAGAGCAGAAATCCTTTCTTGTTCCTGATGTTAAGGAGAAAACATCCGGCCTTTTAGCATTAAATATGTTGCTAGATGGAGGCTCTTCATATACGCCCTATATCAGCCTGAGGAAGTTCCCTTCTATTTCTAGTTTACTAAGCGTTCTGTTTGTCATGAAAGGGTCTTCAATTTTATCAAATGCTTTTTCTGCATCTACTGAGATGTTCATGTGATAGATAGGGGCATAGATACAAAGAAAGATCTATATCTATATAAAGACAAGAGATATCTACATAGAGACATGCTCACCACATTAACTGGTTTTCAGATATTAAATCATCTTTAATTTCTGAAATGCGTCTTTCTTAGTCATGATATTTAATACTTTTTACAGATGCTCCATGATTTACAATGGGGTTGATCTTGCTGGTCACTAAATACAGTAAACTGGAAATGCATTTAATACTCCGAATGTACTAAACTTCATAGCTTACTCTAGCCTACCTTAAACATGCTCAGAGCATGTACAATAACCTACCGCTGGGCAAAGCCCAACACAAGTCTACTTCTAACACTAAGTCTACTTCCTAATAAAGAGCTGAATAACTCATATGACTCACTAAATGCCTGTATCCAGAAATGCTGCCAACGCAGAGCACCGTGTAACACAGGCTGTTCCCCTCAGACTGCACAGATAACTGGCCACTGTAACCCATTCTCCTAACCCCACACAGGGACAGAGTATTGTGTTGCCTGTCACTAGCCCAAGAGAAAAACAGAATTCCACATTCAAAGTACAGCTTTTCCATCCAATCTAAAAAGCTCTGCCTTTTCTTTGGGGTGTTAAGGTCATTTACACGTAATGATTTATTTTTGTCTAGTTTCTGAAAAATATTTTAGATTTTTTTCTAGTACTTTAGAGGTACTATAGTTTGGATCTTAAGTACCCCCCTACAAATGGTTATGGTTTGGCCCCCAGCTAATGCATTATCTGAAACCAGGGGAACCTTTTAAGAGGTGGGACCTAGTAGAAGGAAATTAGGTTACTCAAATACAGTTTCTACTAAATGTGTATTGATTGCTTCCGCACCTCAAGGATAGGGATATGGAGATAAACAGATAAGAGACATAGATATACTTCGTATTTCATTTTGTTGGTATTTCTGTTGAGGATATTTGCATCTGTATTCAGAAGAAATATTGGCCTCACAAAAGTGTTTCCTCATCTCCTATCTTCTGGAACTTTGAGTAAAGTTCGTATCATTTCTTCCTTGAATATTGGAATTCATCAAAGAATCCAACTAAACCTATAGTTTTTTTCTTAGAGAGGTTTTTAATTAAAAATTCAATTTTTAAAACAGATGGTAGTATCGCACACCTGTGATCCCAGCACTTGGCTGAGGCAGGAGGATCATTGCAAGTTCAAGAGCAGCCTGGACTACAAAGTGAGCTCCAGGCCAGCCTGAACTGCATTGTGAGATCCTGTCTCAAAAAAAAAAGGGAAGGGGGGGATATTCAAGTTATCTCTTCCCCCTTGAGTAAGCTTTGGCAGTTGTTTTTCAAAGCATTTTTCTATCTTTCCAGAAGTGATCAAATCTTTGGCACAAACCGGTCCTAATTTTTCTTTACAACCTCTCACTGTCTATGGATCAAGAGCAGTATGTCATTATTACTTCTTATGTCTTCTTTCATTCTTACTCACTCTTGCTTTTTCTTGATCTCTTCAAAGAGCAGTTTTTTAACATTAGTGATTCTTCTCTGCTATTTATTTGTTTTCTGCTTTACTGATTTCTGCTCCTTATAATTTCCTTTCTTCTGCTTTCTCTGGTTTTAATCTGTTCTTTTTCTAATTTCTTGAGTTGTGGACTATTAATTTGAGCCTTTTCTTCCTTTCTAATACAAGCATTTAGTGTTACAAGTTCTGTGTATTTTGTTTTATATATTTCAAAGCTCTCTTATCAGATGTCTTTTTAGGATTATAATGTCTTATTGATAAATTTCATTATGTGGCACTTTATCTCTTGCAATATTCCTGGTACCTAAGTTTCCATTATAATACAGAAATTCTAGCTTTCTTTTGATGGCATATACTTTTACTACTTGCCTACTTTGATATTAAAGTAGGTTTTAATGTATAGAATATAGTTATGTTTACTTTTCTGTCCAATCTGAAAAATCTCTTTTAATTGGAGTGTTTAGGCCATTTACATTTAATGGCTTATTTTGGCTAGTTG